TTTAAGATTTTTTAAAATTAAATTAATTTTAAATAAATAAAAATTATTTTAAAAACACCATGACTGTTAATTTCTTTTTAAAAAATAAATAAACAAATAACCCTTACCCTATATGCTATATGTTCCTCATTGGATCACTTTGCATATATTCATTCCACCGTCATGTCGCCAACACTTTCCAAGAAATATCCAGCTAAATCACTTCTATAAGTTTGCTCTTCTCCTTTGCCGGCTCATCGTTTTTTATTATCAGATACAGTTTGGCTTGAATTGAGGGCGTAGATCTGCTTCTGTTTCTAATTTGCTTGGCCTAACTAATTGGATCATGTGTCTACTTTTTGCAATTTCTTCCATCGAATTTGCAGGTATACCATATCTTCGATCACGATTTTGTACGCTTATGTTATCGTTAAAGTACATAATAAATGAAAAAAATTTAAATTTTTCTTGGTAGATGCACCTTATCTTTAATATCCCTTGTTAGATTCTTTATTTTCAAATTATTTTATAGCAAATTATTATATTTTTTTATTTTATATTTACTTTTACTTAATTAATTTATATTTTGTGAGTTATTCTTTTGTTGATCATATTTAAATCATGTTCTATTTTCAGGAAATATTCATTAGACACTCTGATTGCAAAGAAATAGGCTTGCAATTAAGCAAATCTGCTGCTATTTGTAATTCGTTTGGTTTAATTTGGTCATCCTCATCAATTCCTTCAATTTCATCCATTAAACCTAAAGGTATACCATTTACCTTCAATATCTTAAATTTGATTCTCTTAAATTTTTGTTGAAGTATATAAGATGAAAAAAAAAAAAAAAAAGAACAATATTATACTATTAGATACAAATCATTAACATATCAACTTCTGCTTATGTTATCCACTTTTTCGTATCATCTCTAATATTGAGGGTAATTCAGTTATAACTAGAGTAATTCAGTTATAACTAAAGTAATTGAAATTAAAATTTGAATTGATTTAATGTTTTTTCCTTTGATTAATTCAATTAATTCTAGGTAAAACCAAGTTCAACCATTTGTATTTGGGTCCACTATGGGCATGGTTCTTCTTCTTCTTCTTCTTTTGCCATCGTGGGCATGCTTATTGATAAGCTTTGATTGAATAATTGAAATACTAGTAATTGACTGATTCAACTGGCCTAAATTTTTTGTTATTTGAGTTAATTTAGCTAATTCGGTCTATATATCCAAATTTAGTAAAACTAGTAAATTTTATATCAAATTAACTAAATTATAATGAAAATTTTAAAAAACATAATTTTTGTTAATTTTGAATACTAACCCAAATTAAATTGAAAATTTTCAACTAATTAATACTAATTCTTTCTGAATAGAAAAGGTTTTCAATTACACAAGAAGTATTTGACCAACTTTTAACTTGTCGATTAACCAAATATTTAAGTTTGGTTAACCGAACCAACCAAACACCCCATCCTATCTACATCAACCACTGTACTAGATGCTATATTCTTTTAAATTATTGACAAATATGCATAGACATTTTACATCCGAAAAATAATTAATTTTTTTAGATGTAATTACAATAGTCTCATGCTACAAATTTTTATTAGTTGTTTTTTCAATTATTTACTTGATTTTTTTATTTATCAAAAGAGAGCAATATCGCACCAAGCCTTATAAGTTAATTAGTTGGTATGCCTAATACTTTGATTAGTAATTAGATTCAAACCATGGTAATATTATGCAAATATCCTTCTTCCCCCTTCCCAAATTATAACTGTTTAAAAAAAAAAAAGCAACTTATATTGTAGATTTTCCCAAAAAAATAAAAACCATTACAATGATTAGGTGTTCATTTTTTATTCAATTTGATTTATTAGATCTAAACTGATCAAATCCAATTAAAAATCAAACCAAATCGATATAAAATTGAATTGGTTTGAATTATAAAATTTTAAACTGATATAATTGGTTTGATTTTTAATTTTACTTTTAAATCATCTAAACTACTCAATTACAAAACAAAACTTGATTACAGAATAATTTAATTAAATAATATAATATATATTTTTTTATAATATTT